TAGAATAGCTTGATTTTGTACATGATCAGATTGTGAGTTCATTGGTGCGGGCTGCAGATGGCGGGCAGAAGGGTTAGGAAAGGCCAGAGGAGGAGGCATAACTATGGGGAGATGGTTCTGTTTTCCAAGATGATGTGTCAAGCTTGCTTTTGTCCAAAACCAAGCTAATATTGAAAACAAGAAATTTTTGGCAATCAGTAGTCATGAATCACAATAAATCCCAAAGAAATTCATGGGTCATCACCCAAGACCATAGATTTTGGGCTGAAATAAAATTTCTCTATACCCAAATTCACAAAGGGATTTTCATTGGCACATATTCCAGCCACTGGTGAGGGAGAGCCCTGTGATGAGGGTGAGTACTTTGCGACAGATTAGAATCAGTCCCCAGATGAGATAAACTCTTATAGCATGCTAGGGGCTGGTGTTCCTCCCTAAGTTTCATCCAGGAAAGAGACACTGATCATAAAGAGCATTCTGATTTTAAAAATCCCCTTCTATCTATTTACATGTGCTGATATGAGTGATCATCCTCAATTGATAACAATGCTCTTTCCAGTTACTTAGTATGGTGCGCGTGAGCGCAGACACACACACACACACACACACACACACACACACGCATCTAATAGCCATCCTACCTTTTCCCTAGCTAGTTGGCCTTTGAAACCTAGCAAAAAGATCTGTACTTTCTTAACAAAACACAAAAGATGAATTATTCTCCCAATCCCGTCTTTAATCACAGACCCACTTAAAAGCAAATTCTGTAAACAGAGGCAGGTCCACCTAGATTTTGCCTGCCCCTAGCTTCAGCTTTGATAACCATTTCTGGTTTCTGGTGACTCTGCAGAAGTAAAATGTACTGCTAGAGTCTACCAAGGCTCATAGTAGATCTTATGATTGTTTAATGAGATTTCTTTGCATCACTTTAGCTCTAAGTGATACATCTTTTTCTGTTCAAGTGGTAGCTGATTGGAGTTATTGTTTTTCTTGGGAGACTATCCTATGTTTTTACATGTGGAACTGTATCATTTGAAGAGTTAAATCCTAGGAACTAGATTTAAGTTCTAAGAAGCTAAGTAGGACTTCAGAGAATAGGTATCTTGGAGCCCGAAATTAACCTCTTAAAACTTACTCATACCAGCAGATAGATAGAATGTACATATTAACAGAGCCATTAGGCAAAAGCAAGTTCACATCTTCCTGGCTCATTCATATGGCTTTGCCTATTAATCATTAGGTTAATGAGGTGTAGACTGTGGTGGAGAGTGTTGCACTGGGAGATCAGAAGTTTGGGAATCCACTGGGGAATATTTGGGATGGTTCCTAGAAAGAGGGACTAAAAAAAGTGGCTCAGTATGAGGAGCTTTCTTGTAAACACACACTGTAAGTTGGTACTCCATGAATCTTTAATTCTACGCTATCTTCCAATGGAGCCTGGACATATGTCATGTTTTCTGGGACATCTATTATTCTCAAACTAATGTCATGGAATTTTATAAGCTTCATCTGATTTTGGATCTTTCCCAGGAGTGGGAGGAGCATTAGGTGACTTTTATTCCTTAGTATATTTCTCCTCCTCATCCTGACCAAGGATAGGAGCCTCTGGAGGGATAGTGGTTAAAAGACTCAAAGCTCATTTTACTAGGCCCTAAGCTGAGAAGGTCTCAGGAGAGACAGGCTCTCCTCTGTCGTGTTTTTTAAATTTTTACTCACTCTATCTCAATCCTCAATATCCAAGATTCCCACCTGTGGAAACTATGGATTGTCTCTCACAATATTTTTTTTGATGTATGGATGTTAATTTGATCTCTGGCCTGCTTCAGCAGCATGTGTAGTAGCTGTACATATTTCTGTTCTTTTACTGACTGATCCTGTCTCATTGTTTTCCCAGATAACTGAAAGCTTTCCATGACACCAAGTGCTTTACCTTTCACTTTCTGCCTCTGGATTTGTCCTGCAGAGTCCTGTTGTCACCTTGCATCTTTTTCTTTTTTTTAATTGGGTGGCCTTTCCTTCTCAGGCCTTAATGGTCCATGTTTGGGCACCAGTTATTGAGAAGTAGCCAAGCCCCATGGCTTCCTGTTTCAGGGGTATGGTGAAGGATGCTGTGTTGTAAATAGGGGATCAAACACTCAGGGATCATTCCAGTCCTGAGACTGAGTCACAGTGCCTGAGAGAAATGTTGGTTTTCTGGTGAATCCCAGAGGGCAAACCTGCCCTTCCCATAGACATAAGTGGTCATGATGAAGGGTACAGAGTATTGGGATTTAGGTTATTAGACAGTCTCCTTGGGAATGCTGAAGAGGAATGTGCTATTGAGAGGAGGGTCAATGATGTTAGTGAATAAGTAAAAAATTTCAATGATTTACTTTTGCCCATGTAAATAACTAGTGTACTGTTCAGGTGAACAAGAGACTGCCCTCCATGTGACAATTCAGAAATCTTGAACGAGGCATGAGTAAAACTTTTTTTAAGGGACAGATGGTAAATATATCCAGCTTTGCTAGTCATACACCTCTTGTAGTAACTACCCAACTCTGTTGTTGTAATGAATGCAGCCTTAGAAGATACATAAGCAAATGGACACAGTTGTGTTTCAAAAAACTTTATTTTAAAATATTCACAGTAGGTCAGATTTGTGAGGCAATTTGCCACCCCCTCATCTAGAATATGATGGCTCCCATCCTCTCCTCTGATTTTTAAATTTGTTGTGGGTATCGATTCTAAATTTGTCTTGGGTGTCAAGAAGGGAGAGGAGCATGCAACAGCAGACTATGGTGGTTATCAGGGTTCATCCTGAAGATGGCTTTCTTCAATTCCACAGACATTCTACTGGAGAGAATTTAGTCACATCCTCAATCTAATAACAACCAAAGCTTGGTGCGTGCCAGAGTAACTGGGACAGATTTCAATGAACAATCTCTACCCTAAATCAAACCTTTTAAATCATGGATTTTATGTTACCATTGTTATTCTAATGTACAATAAAATAAATATATAATCCTTACATAAATGATGTGAAGTTTATTTATGTATCACTTGAAATGATCTTGCATAACTCCAGGAAGTGTATTATACCTTCCTAAACTTTTAGATCCTTTGATTCAAATCACAAGAACTTAATTATGAAACCAGTCCTTGTTTGGTAAGGATGTTTTGTAAAGGTTTTTGTCAGCCTTTAAAAAAATGGAAAGAGATTTTTCAGAAACACATGTAAAAATGTGGACCTAATAAAGTTAAAATGGCGTATAATCTGGAAAGGGCTCAGGAAAACTCAAACTTTAGATTATATTATAAATATATGATGAACACAGTAACCTCAATATAAAAAATGTTTTATGGCTTTTTTTGCCATGAGAATTATCATTGTTCACATATGTTAAGCTCAGAATTGTCTGTCATGTCTTCTGATGGCACTAGATAGGAGCCGAGCAGGATTTGGTTGAACTGAGAAGAGTGAACACAAGCAGTGGTGCGGTGCAGGTCTGATGCCTTCTTAGGGAGGGCAGCTGGACTAGAAGCGTTAATAGGCGGCTGAGGGACTAAACACCAGGCTATTAATCGACGTTCTGCCCAGACAACGAGGGAGTCATTGAAGGATTTTAATCCAGAAAACTTCAAGATAAAAAGACCTTTCTGAAGGTAGAATCTAGCAGAAGCAGACAAGCTATTTGGAGGGGCTAGGGGGTGACTCTGCAAGAAATGCTCCTAAACACTTGGGAGGGGAAAAGATAAGCTGTCCTTTTCAGACATGGTTAAGAAAATGTTCAGATGGGAAAGGCAACAAGGGAGGAGGGAGGGAGAAAGAAAGGAAGGGATGAGATAAAAAAGTGAAAATAGAACAAAATGGAAACAAAGTTGTTATACATAGGGAGGGGAGGATTGTAAGGGGGAAATGGGATGAAATAAAATTTATTTTTAGAAAAGCTTGACATATACTTCTCCACAAAGCTGGACTGCACAGTTTTTTTCCGAATCCCAGGATCTATTATTGTTGGCTCTCTGTTTTTACATTGAAAGCTTTAGTCTATTCCAGGTACTTTAGCTGACATTCTAAATATTTTATAGTCTATTCCATTCCTACTTGATGTTTTACTTGCAGACTGAAAGTACAAGGATGTGCAGAAGTCTCTACCATTTTCCAAGAGCTCATCAAGATATATATAAAATGCCATTTTAACAGACCAATAGTGTGTACACCAGGACACGCACATTCAAACCTAATACACAGATTGTACCTGTTGAATAGGCTAGGATTTTTATCACCACTATTGTAAAAGTACTGCCAAGTTTTGGCAAGATTATGGAAAACACAAGTGGTTTTGGGGGGTAATTTGGTAAAATCTATCTTATCACTTGAAGGGGCTTCCTGCTTGCTATTTTAATTAACCATGTTCTATATTTTCCTTCTGATTTTTTGGGATCAGGTCATCTAATTCTTTGGAGAGTATATGCCAATAAATTGGAAAATCTAGAAGAATTAGGCAAACCTTTGAAGAAATATGACTTACAAAAATTACATCCAGAAGAGACAAAAAAAAGTAGATAGATCAAAAACAAGTAATGAGATTGAATAAGTAATAAAAAGTGTCCCTCTCTTAGTGCTACCTCTCTTATTATTTCCAGTCTTTCTCCTGAGCATCTGACAGAGGTTCATAGAGAAGAGTCTGTCAAAAGTGTAAACATTCCCTTGGGTTTGTGATTCCCGGGTATTTTATGCTCCAGGTATTTTAAGTCCCACAGTTGGATTTTAGCACTTTGGTAAATGTTTTAGACAAATTTTTTTCATATATATGATGACATCTACCTGCAGGTGGAAAGTGAGCTACTGTTCACACCCCACCTTTCCTCTCATGGGGTTGCTTTCCTTTGAGTTCATGGTAATCCTTCACCAAATCCATCTGCATAGAGATATCTTCCTGTCATGATGTCTCTTTCTTCATCCTTCTCTATAGGAGAAGGATGAGTTTCTCTCCACCACAGGACACACACACAGATTTAGTAACAATACTTAAATTTATTCTCCAAGTTGAGACCACAAGTGAAATATTCCCTCTCCCTGGACTTTGCACACCCCCATAACACAATTCTCCAACCTCCACAAGTGCTGCCACATTGGCCTACCAACATCTTCCATAGAATACACCTGTCTCAGCTGTCCCAGTCTCCAAAGGCTGGCTGGGATTCCTGTTCAGAGCTCAATATGTTCTCTCTGGGTTGGCTTCCTCATTGCTTCCTTGGCCCAGAACTCATTCCAGAAAACCATTTCCTTTGCTTTCAGCCCCTGGGCTGCTTGAGTGGTAGCACCAATCTGCAGGTATCCTTCCTTCTGGTCATACTCTGGCCAATGGGGCAAACCTTCCCCATTGGGGTTCCTGGAAACAGAACAAAATACAAATTCTCAAAGCTGCTGTGTGGTTCCCACATTTCTCTTAGATTTCAAGGGGTCCCCTGGCTTATTTCTGCAAAGTTATTCACATATCTCCAGAGATGGGGAGCACCCTATCTCCAACGTCAGAGTGTTATGGTCTCAGGGTCACAGGATTTGGTCACTCAGACTTCAAAAGCTACATTTTTCCAATAGGTATGCCACACCCTGACCACTAACCCTGCTGAATCCTTGCAATCAGCCTCACCCATTGCGAGCAAAGTTGGCCCAGAATTTCATCATCATCTTGCTGAGGTTGATCTCCTCTTCTGAGGCACCATCTGTGGCAGAGAAGGAGAAGGAGAAGGAGAAGGAGAAGGAGAAGGAGAAGGAGAAGGGGAAGGGAATGAGAAAAGCCTTTTGACTCAGTGTGTGGTTTATAGGCTTGCAGCAGCACAGTATGAGTTGGGAAGTTGTTAGAAATACAGTCTTGGCCCTTTCTCCAGACCTACTTATCTGCATTGTAAAAAGATCCTGGCTAACTGGTGGGACTTTCACCCTGAGAATGATGATCTATGACTCAGCAATGTGTGTACAATCTATCAGTGAGATAGCTGCCTCTGTCTTCCCTGCCTACCTGCCCACCCTTCCTCCCTGGCATCACAATGCTGCACCCCAAAGTTTCTTCTGATTCTCAGGCTTGTTGGGTTTGAGCACTTTCTTATCTCCTACATGCATTCAGATTTCCACAGTTTCTGAAAAATATCAGAAGTGCAAAGTTCCAAAGAAGCCAGCCACCTGGAAGATGGCCAGAGATATGTGTGTCATAAACAGCCATGAAATAGGTCACAAGTCAGATGCAACTAACTGATAGCAGTGAAGGCAACTGAAGGCATTTGTAAAGATTTTCTTTAAATATTACAGTTTTAAATAGACTACAAGTTAAAATATATGAGTTTTATATCTATTGGTAGATTAACACATAGACACGTACATATCGAAGTTAGCACCAATTGGGATCTTTGCTTCATTTACCTACTGATAGTCTTTTGTGAGTGGAAAATCAAGTAGTGGCCTGTATTATTAATGTCACAGATCAAATTCTGAGAATAACAATAGCTAAGGCTATCTGGATGTACTACCTCCTTCATGTATGTTAGAGTTGGGAAAATGTTGGCTTTTGTTCATGTAGTTCAGTCCTGTGACAGTGAATCCAGAAAGTAAGATCGAGAGAAATACAAACTTGCCCAAGGCCACCAAACAAAGTCTGGAACTCAGGCCTACTAATTCTATGCTCATAGACAGCAAAAGACCATTACCTTTTAAAAATGGAGCACCAAATACTGAGAAGAGCTCATCTCCATGGTCTCCTATCACGGTCTTGGGTTTCATGGATGATGAGAAGCTTGGTTGATACTGGAACTCATACATGTAGGTGGGGGCTCTGGCATCTGAGAAGACATGAGTCATGCAAAGTTCATGTTATCAGAACCATGCTGGCATGATGTCATCATCACCAGCTGTGCAGGAAATCCCTCATTAATAGCACAGTAGAGAAACATGGTTTCAGGACACATTAATTCCTTGTGGATGCATAGCTGATTCAAGTGGAATTGGAAGTTTAGCCAGATATTTACTGAATGACAAAATGAGTAAATACAATATAATCAATATACACACTGAATCTGTTTCATTGGTAACACAGTAGTTCTCATTCATTTCAAGGATATCTATAACACAATTGTTTCCTTTTTCATTCTACTTTTGAGTAAGTCTGGGTTTTTTTTTCTCATGTTCTGAGAAGAATGAAGCATATCCAAACGGCTTGTCTGAAAATGAGGATCCTTAAATAAAAATATATGCAGAGAAGGAAAATTCTACGGTCTCCTGTGCTTTGGGAAATCACAAAACTCAGGGTTTTGTATTGCAGTTACCTCACATAGCTGCTTCCTTGGCCTGGGGAGTGTTAAGGCGTGGAAATAATGAGCTGGTGTCAACAAGGAAAAACAGGAAGGGAAAGTAAACTTCATTTCTCTTCTCTTCTCTGTCATGTCCTCCCACCTCTAAAGCCATTTTATTTGAGTGAGTCCCAAGCATATCCCTGTTTTCCTGTTGATTTGATCAGATGAGCCACCAGTGCCTGTTCCTTCAGCACTAACTCAGGGACCACCAAGCTGAGAATATTAACCTGTTAGATTAATTTTAACACCCACAGAGAAGAGTCAGGCTCCGAATTGGGCTAGTGGAGAAACTTTACAGCTCTTCCTTCATAGATACACTAGGAAAATGTTTTTAAAAGCAGAAAATGCAAACACAAACAAAATCAACAGTCATAATCCTAGCACTTAGAGGTTTTTCTATATATTAGGACATATGCCTTTTATATATAAAAATGTGATAATATTGTATATATGCTTTTGAAATATCTGTAATCATTTCATATCATTAGCGGTCCATCTAAAAATTATTTATCAATATATGTCATCCCAACATGAGTATGAAGAATAGTTTCTTTAATCACGTTCTACCTTTTATGACTGCACTCTTGGTGCATAAAGAAGTGTTAGTTGGATGAAGCAACCTTGCTGTGGCTCTGTGATCCACTTATTAAATAGCTCCTGCGAGGACAAGCAGCACTTGCAGAAAGGAGGGCTTAACCTTGCCCATGTCACTCAGATATTTTAGAAAGGAATTCAGAACCTGACTATCAGGGAAAGAACTTTTCTGAATGAGATAATTTATTTTTGGCAGCTTGGTGCCAAAGGTATTTTTTTTGCCAAAACCATGATAATTTTTTAAATCTTTATAATCACAAATAAGTGTTCAAAAGAAAGTAGGACATATATTCGGAAAATTACAATTAGAAACAATAGAAATAGAGACTATGGAACATCATCAAAGGACAAAGCATTTTCATAACAAGAAGTGTGGAAGGAGAAGAAAGGGGAAACAGAACAGATGATATATTGAAGATATTGTGGCTGAAAACTTTCCTAATCTGGGATACATGCCAATGCCTATATACAGAAAGTACAGACATCTCCAGTTAATTTTGACCAAGGCACAAAATAATCAAACTCTCAAAAATCAAAGACAAAGAAAAATTTTCCAAGACAAAGGTATGCCAAAACATTATAGGCAATGTTCACTTCAGCAGCACATATACAAAACATTATGGCAAGTTTTTAGAAGAAATTCTGCAGGCCAAGAGAATATAGGAAGTTATAATCAGTGTGCTGAAGCAAAATAAAACTGTTAACATAGAACACTTCACCCAGGAAAGGGGTCTTTCAGAAATGAAGGATAAAGACCTGTTTTCCCAAACCAATAAAAACCCACTGCCTTTACACTTGCCTAACCAGAATTGTTAAATACAATTACTTAAACTGAGACAAAAAGGTGTTCATGAATAATATGAAACATACAACAGCACAAGTCACGGAGCCATATTCAGAATACCCTAGGACTGGAATGATAATGTGTAAGTCAATTTTATGATTTTATGCCCAGAACAAAAGCTAGAAGACAACACTATTACTAAAAAACTACAGCTAAAAGCAAATAGTCAACTATAGTTAAAATTAGTTGCCATTATAAAATGATTCAAATTCTGACACATAAAATATGTGTGTTCAGGGGGTTAATATAGAATTGTTACATAAAGTCAGAATTGTTATCAGTGTAAACTAGACTGTATAAGTGTAAGATATTCTATGTAAGTCTTAGGGTAGTCACAAAATAAAACTGTTTCACAGAAGCAAAAAGCCAAAATAGGACTGAAGCATATTATGACAGAAAACCAAACCACAAGGAGAAATGGCAATATAGGATCAAAGAAACAAAGTATTTGCAAAAAATAATTAATAAAATTGCATTAGTAAATTCTTACTGGACAATAATTACCTTTAATATATACAGGTACAGTTCTACAACTCTTTCACAGAGACACTGAGTAGATTTTTTAAAAAGACCAAGTGAATATGCTACCAACAACAAACTCGCTTAACATTTAAGGACACACATAGACTAAAAGAGAAGCGATGGAAATAGATATTATACAGAAACTTAAACCAAAAGAGAATAGAGGTACTTATATTGGAAAACAGATATTAATTAAAAGAAATTTAAAAGAGATATTTAAAGATATTATATATTGATAAAATGGTCAATTCATCAAAAAGATAAAATAGTAATTCAAGAATTTGAGAGTTTGAAGCAGGAGGATTACAAGATTGAGTCTTGCCTAAGCAACTTAATGAGAACTTCTCCCAAAATAAAAAAATAAAAATGGGGTGATGGGGATGTAGCTCAGGGTGAAGTCCCTGGGTTCAATCCCCAGTACCACAAAAACAGGATAAAACAATTATAAATGTATATAAACTCAACATCAGAGCACCTAAATATATAAAATAAATATTAAAGGATCTGAAGGGAGAGATAGATGAAATACAATAATAGTAGGTGACTTCAGTAACCCACATTCAACAAGGAATAGACCAGTTAGAATTTTTTCTGAAACAGTGTCTCTCTATGAAGTTCAGGCTGGCCTTGAACCTGTAACACTCCTCCTGTCTCAGCCTTCTGAGTGCTGAGATTACAGGCATGTGCAATCACACCTGGCAGAAAGAAAAATTTTAGGGAAATAATGAACTTGAGCAATACTTGGGACTGAATAACCTAACAGAAATATACAGGCTGTTCACTTCAATGCCAACAGAATATACATTTGTGTATAGATCCTACATTAGGTCAGAAAACAAACAATTTAAGAGACTTAAAATTATAAAATGTATTTTTCTGACTATGATGGAATACAATTAGAAATCAATAGCAAGAAAAAAAAAGAAATCAATGGCAAGAGACATTTTGGAAGATTCCGAATTCATGAGGAAAAGATAACATGCTCCCAAACAATAAATAAATCAAAAAAGAAATGAATGTGGAAATTAAAAATATATTCAGACATCCAGGAGATCGAGCTGGAGACTGAGCCAGTGAGGACCCCTGGGCTCACCCACCAGCCTCCAGGTTGGCCGCAAAGGCACCTGCAACAACCCCCCACCACCACCACCCGCCGTCTCTTGGCTGTACAGCTACATAGATCCACACTACAGAGGCACAGAGGAGCATGAAGGCCATTGTGCTGAGCCGCAGAAGTGAACAACAGAGAGAGGGGCTCTCTCAGTTCCTTGATGAAAACTGAAGCCCACTGGAAAAGTGAAGAGAATCTCTGCAGTAAAGGCACACCAGACCACTGTACTTGGTAAGTTGGAGGGTCATCACCTCCCATCAGAACCTGGACTATCTTCAGGGGGAAAGGCAACTAGAACCTGCAGTAGAACCTTGGAGAGTTCAACCCTTCAGGAGGACAGGGAGCTCAACTTGGGACTTGCAGCCAGAAATCTGGATGAATTTCAAGAGTCTGTGACTGGCTTACTGAGACTCATCGACTTATAACTGTACACTGCTGCCCACGTTGTCTATTGTGACAGCAGAGCCATACCCTGAAGGAGGCCCTTCTTTTTTTATCTTTTATTAGTTATTTTCAAAATTACCACTTTTTTGCCTTATTTTTAATTTTTTTCTCCTTTGCTTCTCTTTTAAAATTTTTATTTTTCTCCTTTTTCTTTCTTTCCTCTTTTCTTTCTCTCTCTCTCTGCCTCGCTCACTTGCTATCCCACATTGTTCTTCATCCCCGTTTGTGTTCCTGTTCTGCCCCTAATTCATATTTCTTCTTTATCTTTCTTTTCTTCTCTTTCTTTCTCTTGCCTGTACCATCTGGCCTCACTGCTAACCTTCCCCTGTCCTTCTACTTACCTATTCCTCCCTCCCCAACTCCTTCTAACTCCCCATCCTGAAGGGTAAAGTTGCTATATTGAAGAGTTTATTCACTGTAAACATATGTTGGGTTGGTCCTTGATTTTGATTTAATTCACACAGTTAAAGGTGATAGATTAATAACTACCACAAATTGTCATTTCCTAAGAGGTACTTGATGCTATTGTGTTGCTGATTGTATCACTTGAGCTAATCAGTTGTGATTGATCTAATCAGTTGTCCTTCCTGGTATAATGCAAATGAGACAGCTTCAACGCCATTAGAGACTCAAAACCTAAAGACAAGCTGTATCTGGAAGACAACTCTGAGAAGCAATCATTCCATAGGTGTTCTAAATACATCAACAAAGATATTTACAATAAGCAACTTCAAAGTATCAACACAGGAATTAAACTAAGAACAGTAACAAAAACAGAAATGACAAGACATTTAAGTAAGGCACAAACTCAGACTTCCATCCTACAAAAGGCAAATTCTGAGGGAAATGAGGTGGGAAAGTCTGATAATCAACCACCTGGACACCCTGAACTGATAGCTCAGGAAGTAACAAAACATGAATGAGGCTCTAGAAAAATTCAAAACAGAAATAATTTCCCAGATAACTACAGAGATG